TTTTTTTTATCAAGATGAAGAAAACGAATTTATTTCCATGGATATCGAAATGAGAAAGAGGTTATGCTGATCAAAAAATCCACCTACGAATTCATTTTAATATCTGTCGACAGTTTATTATATAACTGTTATTTATAAACACCGACAACTAAGATAAAAGAAATAGATCGAATACTTGATCAATATTCCTGTTAGATTGGATAGAAGAGAAATGTTTCAGAGGAAAACAAACAGACTAGGTCAATGATTCTGCTGAACGGATGCCGCAGGAACCAGTAGGAAAATAAGGAAGAACTCATCGTATCCTGCAGGAAAACACGGGAACTCGCGGGAACATGGAAGCAGTATTCCGGCCGGAAATTTTTTGGGATTTTTTTCAATCGGTTCCTGCTGGAAAGCATAGGAAGTTGGTCGAAATTCACCGGAAAAAATCCGAAAAATTTCCGGCCGGAATACTGCTTCCATGTTCCCGCGATTTTCGGTGTTTTCCTGCTGGAACCAGCCCGTACTTGTCGACCTGTGAGAGAGAGAGAGAGAGACAATAAAAATAAAAACGAAAGGTGTATAGTGAAATTGTTAATATAATTTTCATAATGATAGTTCCATTGCACATCCTCATATAAACCTGAGCTAATGATTTTAATAACGAAGAGTTTCTAATCGAAATAACTGATGAAAAATTGTCTAATTATCATCTTTTTTGATGTTATCGACCTGCTTTGTTCACTTTGAAAGAGAAAGATAATCGTTATAAAATTCATTGGAAAAGTATCATTCAATCAGACAATTACTTCGTCTTTGTCTTCATCTATCATTCTTTATTTGAACTTTTGAAATGGTATGCACTGAAGTCGGAGAGTGATCATAGGTAGTGTATGATACTATTTTAAATATAAATTTGTTGTAATCAGGATGATTGACTATCTTATTGAATACACAACGATGCGTTGAAGAAAATAATCCGTGTGAATCGATAATAATATTTTATTAAAAAAAAAAGAAATAAGAATTTTAAAGTGAAATCAATATGAAAAGTCATTTTAATCAAATAGAGTCGATTTATAGATAAACCATCTCTGCTACTTTCCAAATATATAATCATTGAATAGATATTCATTTATTTCATATTTATCTATTATTTAACAATATTCTTCAATTATAAAATTAATTTCTTTCCTTTTTGTTATTGTTTTTCATATTTGTTCGTATTTAACTTATCTGTTATTATTAACGACGAAGGAGATGAGATTAGAATTGCTAAGAAGTTTTATACAATTTTTAAGACGAATCTTAAAGAATATTTTTAGTTTGTTTGTTTGTTGTTATTAACTAAAATAAAATATTTGAATAGATTGACAGATATTTATAATTAAAATAAAATAAATAAAAGAAAAAAAGAAAAGAAAAGTAAAATAAAAAATGACTAAAATGTTAATAATTATCGTTGTATAAATGAAGATGTTGGTAAATGAATATTTTTTTGTAATGATAAATTATTATTTCTATGTGTTAAAATACGCATTCGAATTGTTTGTTGAACATGTTCACGTTGAGATTTATTTCTAAATAAATTCATAAATTTAATAAAACAATATAATTGATAATAATCATATAATAATTTTTTAATTTCATTTCTAAATGATTTTCCACTTAAACAATAAACATAAAAATTTAATGAACAATTAGCTAAAATAACAACACTTGTCCAATGTGATAATAATGGATTTGATGTTGACCAATGTACAATAGTTGATGTTAATGATGAAAAAAAGAAAAGACATGAATGAATTATTAAAACAATATTCATCCATGATGTACTTGGTCGATTATGTACAATTAAACCATCATTTGTTTCACTTTTTTTAAATGAATTATTAAAATTTTGACGAGTAATAATTGAAGAATTATTTTTTCTTTTTGAAAATGATAATGTTGCTTTAATAACACTTATTATTATTCCAATATTTAATAAAATAACAAATAATGATGGAATTATTTCAGAAAAAATTGAACGAAATGTTGTATAATTTAAACCAAATCTAACATCAGTTAAAAATTCAAGCCATAATATACCAATTGATTCGTTTAAACTACAAACCATTTGATTTTTACCATTATTTATTTCATTATATCTTACATATTCATATCGACGAGATTCTTCTTCTAATGACGTCCTATTTGATAATCTATACAAATTAGACTTGCCATTTTTTTTGTTGTATTCCAATTAGAATAATTTATTTTAACTATAAAAGTGAGGTGTCGTGTCTCTATAGAAATCCCTTATGATAAATGTATTTGTTTTTGGTATATTCGTTTATTTAAATTAACTTGAATAAGAATCTAAAATGTTTGTTTGTTTAATTAATCGATTTCGAAATCTTTTATTTAAATAT